ACGCTCCTACAACCAGGCTGACGACCTGAGCGTTGTTCGTTCACTTGGGTCTAAAATTGCATCAATTATGACAGTCCCAAAAATAATCGATATAATTTTCTCCTGGTATAAATTTTAAGCATGCAATTATTGCAGAATTTATTGGTACTAAGATTTTTCGCGATTGCTCGCCAGCTGCTGCCTCGCGCTGCCTAACGTTGGGACCGGGTGAGAGAATATAACAACTAAATTCGTACAGAAAAATTGATGCAAAACAACTAGGTCATAGTAAATTGCCACTTAGGTTACTCGATTATGTTAGATACCCAAAACACACCGTGAGAAGCGCAAGCGGGAAGAACCTTTACGACAATTAGGCATATACAATGGTTAAAACCTGACTTATGTAAACAGTTGGAGCAGTGATTAACCTACCTTTGCCTTGGCAACATCCGGCCCCCAGGTTTACACATTTGTCCCCTTCCCTTTTTGTCTTAAAAGTTTTACCACTTAAGCTTCCTACAGTGTGTTTTAAGTATGTAACCTTGTCGATAAGCCTACTTGGCAATCTGCTATGATATTGTTGTTTTGCATCGATTTTTCTGTACGAATTCAATTGTTGTTTTCTATTAAACGTGCTTTGTGTTATGCAGCGAGAGGCAGTAGTTCACGAGCACTTGCGAAATATCTTGGTACCACTAACTTCTGCAATAGATGCGTGTTTTAACTAATCGATATTACTCCTGCCAGCGACCCATACAACGAGGACCAGTGTGGGTGTCGAACTTCAATCAAAGCTAATTCTACTTTTTAACCCCTCCATGAAAGTTCAGGTGGAGACTTAAATTTACTAGAGTACAAGTTAAGCGAACTATTTTCATTTGCATATTTTAGTTCGGAAGCGACCGTATTTGCCGCAGAGACGGGCAAGTTGGGTGGCAGTCCAGACGCCCTGTGGACGCGCGGTGGCTCCGCTCTGGTCAGCCGCTTTTTGGCTCTAGAACGTCTAGTCTTCTCAATGCGCCTCCTGCGACGAGGGCTCTGCCAACTGGCCTCCTCTCCTGAACACTACTCAATGTTGAGATGGCGTTTAATCAGCAGTCACGCCGCGATTTCTGCTGCACATTACATCCTAGGTGAGTAATTGGTAAAACATATGCATCGCTGCGATTTCATCATATGACTATTGAACTTCTGTGTTTTTTGAAGATTCATCCAACAGATCTCTTGCGTGAGATTTGAACCACAGTCACTGGGATTTCCAGTTTTGTTCTGTTATTTTTCTGTTCCCAGGAGCCTAATCGTGCAGCATTTTCTCGTAGATTAAATCATCTTTTTAACGAATTGTACGGTCGGCTTGTTTAGCTCTGAATAGGGCCTCATGTCCAGACCCCCACCCTCTCTAAAAGCTATCTCGGTCAAACGTCTAATCTCCTGCGCTGGGGAGACAATTAACCAAAAATAGGCCACCGTAAGTCAATATTTTTCCTACTCTACCAAGATTCTAGCTTCGACTTCCGACCCGCTAAACTGGCCTATTTATGTTGACTGGAGAGCCTAGTTAATTGATCTTATTAAACCGTCTTCTGTTTGAATACTCAGAATCTGCATACTGGTAGCCAAGGGGTGGAGACGATATTGACGGTGGATTCCTCCATCCTCGTCTCCAGCTAGAGCGGTCTCCCAGCAGTGCAGTCAGATGTTTTAGGCCCAATCTTAGAGTCTGCTGTATTTTATACACTGATGCGACGGCTAATTTGGTCTACGTTAAGCCATTTTGGTAAGAAGAACGTGTATGTCCGCCTAACCAAGACACGCTAGCAAGAATAATCCACAATACATGCGACTTTGTGCCAAATTCTTGAGAAACTAGGTTCAGGATTAACTTGGGGGTCAGCGTTAGGTTAAGGGTTGGATTGGAGATTGGGTTTAAGGTTAGAGCTGGAGTTAGGATCGGGATTATGATAAGATGTAGGGTCTGGTTTCATGTCAACCGTAGGGCTAGAGTTAAGATTAAGGCTACAGTTTAATTTTACGTTAGGGTTAGGACGCGTGAATATGTACCCTTCTTGAAATGTATCGCAAGGACACCTATTTTAGGTGGGTGGGGTGTTTCCATTTCCATTTTCTGTTTAGGTAACCGTACGATTCCTCTTTACTACCACTTCATGCGAGGGGGCATTTTCAGTGGTTTGCACAAATCACTCCGTTGCGCACCAGGCAAACTACCTTCCGTTTCCATGCATACTCTCCTTTTCCTTCCAACCTGGAGATTCGGAGATACAGAAAATAGGGTATTTTAAAATCAGAATATTCGACTCTATGCATGGCTGTCGCCATTCCACTCCCCAATCTAAAGTAGAACCACAAATGCCACTTTTGTTTGAGCGGC